AAAAAAAAAAAAAAAAAAAAAAAAACAAAAACGCTATCAGCTGTCATCTGTCACTCTACTACTAAATCTGTAAGCAGTGTGCGAAAAAAATTACAATAAAAAGGGAAAAAGGAGCAGTGTAAAATTTTTAAACAGTCTATTTTACCGCATAGAAAATGTTCTCCAGAAATATAACTAACGTCTTTGTCCGTAATTCATTTATGAGCCAATCATCAAAAGTTTACCGTAATATTTCAATTACGTCTGTAAATCAGGACATTGTTAAAATCCAAAGCACAGATGACTTTAAGAAAAAAGTAATAAACAGCAAGGTCCCAGTTGTTGTGGATTTCTTTGCCACGTAAGTTGTCATTTATGTATGGAAATTTGATAAAATTCGCAATTATCTTTTTTTAATAACTAAATATTACGCAATTATTAGATACTAGCTGTCTACTACTCCGGTCGCACGACTGACTTCTTCCAGGCTATGTTCTACATCTGTACCAATTTTTAATAAGATCCATGTTATAAATAGTAATAAACATCCAGTCATCCATCTAAAATTTTGCTTTTAAAGTAATTGTAAAATAAGGAAGTAAGATATTATGTCTTAATTATTCCTATTAGATAAAGTCTAGTAAGAATTACTGGCATGTAAATATAAAAGTATTCCAATACATTCTAACTGCGAACCTGATGAAAGAGTAAAATTTGTTTGTAGTGTTAATGTTATAATTTGATGTTTTTTTTTTTGTAATTTCAGGTGGTGCAATCCTTGCAGGATGTTAACACCACGTTTAGAATCTGTTATCTCTGAAAACAAGGGCAAAGTAATTCTGGCCAAGGTGGACATTGATGAACAAACTGATTTGGCTTTAGATTATGAAGTGAGTTCTGTGCCTGTTCTCATTGCTATGAAGGATGGTAAAGTGCAGCACCGTCTAGTTGGCTTGCAGGATACTGACAAATTGAGGAAGTGGATTGAACAATTCACAAACGAAGAATCTAAAGCCAAAGTTAAGGCATAGATTAGTTGTTGTACTTATATTGTTGTTGAAATATCTATGTAGTTGATGGAATAAATTAAAATAAAACAAAATTTGACTATTCTTCTAGGCATTGTATTAAACTCCTAGCTCTTTTATAAACAATATCATCAGGCTTCTTTACAGATGCATTCTCCGAGTCTTCAGGTTCAGTATTATTTTCTTCATTGTTTTGTGATTCTGTCCAATCATCCATTTGCTTAATAATGTTATTGGCATCAGCCAACAGCATATTTCTAATATTACCTTTTGCAGATTCAAAATACTCCAGCAATATTGGGTATGAAGCATCCGGCACTAGGTTTTGAGAAAACTTATTCTTAAAAAGCCAAGCTTGTTTTGCTTTCATAAATTTCCAGTTAGATTTATCATGTTTCCACTGTGATAAATAGTTAAGACATTGTGATTTTAGCTGATCTTTAGCCTGTGCCTCCGCTGCAGCTTGCCTTTCGGCATGTTTTTCTTTTTTCATCTGCCGTATAGATTTCTTATTTTTCTTATCTGAAGATTCTTTTGGTTCTTGTATTTTCTTTTTTTTCGACCTTTTCGGTTTTGGGTCTGTATCAAAAGTGTCATCATTACTATCGTCTTCAACATGTTTGCGTTTTTGTGATTGCTTTTCAACATTTCCGTTTTCTTCAATATCATCTTCAACTTGATCATGGTTTTTTTCCGTATCTATGTCCTCGTTTTTAATAACTTCTGTATTTTGACTTTTGTTTTTGCTCTTGTTTTTCTTCTTACCACCCATTTTAATTTATGTATTTTTACTTAACCTTAGAGTGTGACTATCGTAATGTGCTTATCATAATGTTTATTTAAGTTTTAAGGTTATTTGATATGTCAATGTCACGATCTTGGTAAAAATAAAAAATTCTCCTTTTTACGCATGCAAATGAAAAACGTGCAAAAAGTCAACTCACAATTCCAAGATTCGGTTTTAGTTCGGAGTTTATATTCTAATTAACTACCAACAGTATAATAATGGTATCGTTTCAATATAAAGTTAAAGTCATTGTTGCTTGCCCACCAATATCACCGAACAGAACATGGAACTCTGACTTCTAAAATTATGGAATGAAGAGAGAGTTATCATTCATTAAACTCTTATATACATAATACGCTTTTTTTAAATAAATGAAAATAATTTATGCAATAATTATTTTGTGTAATAGTTTGAAAACTTTCACCACATGGTCACCCAGACTGTCGCAATTTTTGGCACGTCACAGCCGCGTCATCATGTCTCCGTGTCTGCTTTTATCGCTGGGGAATTAAATTATTCGAGATTATCACACCTAACTGGCATCATTTAATGTTTTTTGCTCTTTATTAAAAATAAATTCAGAGATGGAGCTGCTGAGCCAGGTGTCCAATGTGCAGTTTTTGTACCCTGCCGCAGCAGTTGCCGTTGTTTTAGTATGTGCCGCGTTAGTATTTATTTTTGGTTTTCACTCGGCGGAACAACCACAATTCGATAAGTTGCCTCTTGTTTTAGACGATAAAAAGTCATCTAACAAGAAGCGGAAAATCAAGGAGAAGGTAAGGAATTATAACATATGTCAATGGATCCCGGCCGTGACTGAAATGTGCGCTCATTTTATTTTTAACCTGTTAGCATATGCGCTGGACCTTTTTAATCAAATTTAATTATCTAATCAATTTATCAAATAAATTACTTGTTATTGTAGAAGTCTTCACCCAACCGCACAGCCGATGAGGTAAAGACAAAGACAGAGACCGCCAAAAAATCTCCCGCCAAGGAGAAGAAGGAAGAAAAACCGGAAAAACAAAAGGAACCTGAAAAACCGAAACCTAAAGAAAGAGCAGCAGAGCCAAAACCAGTGAAGAAGGAAGCTAATGATGTGAAAAAAGGGAAAAAGAAGCTACTGACTGAAGTAGAGAAGCCAGCTGATTTTGATGAAGGTGTTTGGGAAGAAGTGCCAAAAAAGAGTGATAAGAAGAAAGTGAAAGCCCCAGAAGAGAAGGACAAGAAGGACAGTCCAACTAAAAAGAATAAGAAGAAGGCTAAGGACGCTGATGTTGAAGCGGCAAGACCTGGCGAGGAGTCTGAGGAGCCTACAAAAGTAACTGTTACTGTGGAGACCCCTCTTGATGAGGAATCTAGCCGTGCACTGCAGGCTCAGGTTGAAGAGTTCCAGCGTGTGCTTAAGGAGGTATACTATATATTTTTTAATTGTTATAATTATAATAAAAGTAACTTGTTTCAATAGGAAACTAATTGTCCTTGCAGTGGCCATAAATGTAAATAAGTTTTGTTTAATAAAAATGTATTTATATCATAGGCAAAACCAAATAAATGAAGTAATGTTAAAAAAACATGTTTATCGAAATGTGAGTTTTTATTATCACATAAAAAGGTTTCCAATTAAAATCTTGTTTGAATACACTTATTTATATAACTAGGCTGTGTTAGAAGCCTTACATTGTCATGGCTATGTATTTACAGGCAGAACTCCGCGATCAGGCTGCACATGGTAATGTGGAGGAAGATGATGCTGGGGATGAGGAGGTGCCAGAAGTGAAAGACCTGAGGAGCAACAAGAAGAAAGAGAACAAGGAAAAGCAGATTAAGAAGAAGGCAGTTGAAGTGAGTATGGTTCTAATAAAGGCTTATAGGAGATTCCTCTAGTATCAATGTTTATGCTTGTGATAAAAATAGGTAAAATAGCATGCACATGATAATACATAAAATTACTACATATATTGTGGAAAATAAAGTTAAGAAAAATTGAAGCTGTTAAATGTAGATTATGTTAATTCGTCAATTTGTTTATCTGTACTAATATCATAGAGGAAAGATTTGTAGTTTTTTTATGTATTGATATAACTCAAGAAATATTGGACCGATTAAAAAAATTCCTACATTTTTATAAAGATATGTTATCAATGAGTAACATAGGCTATGTTTATTCATATTTTTTTCCGCCCGGGTGAAGTCGCGAGCTAGTATTATAAAAAACATTAAATGGTAGATGGATAATAATAGTAAATAAGTCTGATGAATATATTTAACATATTTGCGATTGACATTAAAATGTTAAATCAATACATTGAATCTTTTTTGCAATTCAAATGCCATGCATTTCCTAAAGTAGTAATAATTGTTTATTCACAAACTATGTTCTCAACTTTGATATGTGCTTTTTGAATTTGTACTTACCAATACAAAAAGAAACAGTTGGATCATTTAGAAAATTGTGAAAATATGAACCTTAGAAATATTTTGCTACATTGTATTTACAAAGATCACTTCCTGGGTTTTCTTTTTTTTTTTCATACTTTCAAGAATAATGATCGTTGTTTGCCTATATTGCCGGCAAATGCTATAAATGATTATAAAAAAATGAATAATAATTTAATTTTATTATGTTCTTAATTTCAGTCTGCTGCGGTGAAGAGTGCTCCTAAAGGTGATGAGAAAGAGGCCTCTGATTCCTCTGAAAAACAAGACGACAACCAAAATGTGCCTGTTTTTGATGAGCTCGGTGGTAAGTTATGCCTTAAAAAAATTAGGTTTCCAAATATTTATATGACAGATTTACACTGACATAAATTGATTTTAATATATTTTTAATAAAGTCTTCTTAATATTTTATGTTTATATATTCGTATTTTTCTATACTAATGTTATAAAAATGAAAGATTTGTATTTTTGGATTTATGTATGTTCACGTATGGTATTTGATTCACGCAAAAACTATTAGGCTGATTTTAAAATTCTTTCACTATTAGACTGGTAACTTATCAGAGAGTAAGACTATGATTTTTATTATTTTTTAATTTTACGCGGACGAAGTCGCGAGCAACAGCTATTTCATAAAATGGAATCACATTAGCTGTCTATACAGATGTTTTATTTGCATCTCAAAATTTGTTTCAATATTACCATGTTACTGGTATTATAAATATTAAAGCTTGATGTTAGAAGTTTTGCTGGTTTAGATGGATGTGTTATAACATATCTCTAAAATGATTTAATATTATCTTACCAAAGCTTGGCATAGATGCAGAACATAGGATACTTTTTATAATTTCTTTATAATCCATATAGCTATTACTCGCGACTTCTTATGCGTGGAAAATTAACAGAAAATATAGCTTATGTTACAAACTGATAATGTAGCTTTTTAATTATGAAAGAATCTTGGAAATCGGCTCAGTAGATTTTGAGTTATTTCAATACATACTTTATAATATTAGTCTAGACACACAAGAAGTGATGTTTGTATGTTAATTTGTTTATGGATATAGATACATGGACGGACGCTAAGGTGTCTAAGAAGAGCAAGAAGAAGGCCCGCAAGGAGTGACTGTGAGTAGTGTAAAGCGCAGCGCAGCTAGCTCAATGCCTCACACTGCAAAAAAACTACAACTTGCATAAACACATACAATAATAATTATATTCTAAATCTACATGACATGTAAATACATATGTTTGTTCTCTTTTATCATTATTGACATTTCAAATTTTATGTCTTAGGACATTTTGTAGTTTTGATGTGGTGTGAAATTGTTTACATTAAGTTTTAATTATAAGATTGATATTGTTTCTTACACATTCAGTTAATTTACGTCCATGTTTTAGTTGCATATTTTACGTTATCGACTTGTTTTTTTTTATTTCATTATAATTTAATTATTTGTTTAATGCATAATATGGTTTGTTTTATGCTAAGAGTCATTATATAGTATTTAGGGGAGCGTGTTGGAATCTGCAATACCTTGATGTCATTCCGGCAGTTGTCGCGGGGTGTGGGCTCTGCACTGTCGTAGTGTATACTGATGTATCTATAAGAAATGTTTCCATACTGACATTCATGAATTTCTGGTGCTTGTAGAAGTAAGTGTATTTCCTCATTTCATTCCAGCTGTGAGCATAACATAGGCTTGTAGGGGACTTTTTGTTTGTCTTTATGTTAATAATGAAATGTTTTTAAATTGTATACATTTTAACACGCGTAATGGAAATGTCCCGTTGGGCTGATCGGCCTAGATCAAGAGATGCAATGGGAAACAACTTCCTATTTGGTCGATCGATCAGTGAGCTTTTCGGCTCAACAGGAAACACCCTGATGGAAATGTGCAATGCAATTTGTTGTTTTTTAATGTTAACTCATAATTTAGAACTTTAGTATCACGTTTTGTATATGTTGGGTTTTATCTGTTATCGCTTTTTTGTATCGCATCTAACACGAGTAATTTCCGTCCGTACTAATTTATTAAGTAAACTCAATGCTTTTTAATAATTTGTTAACAAAATTTTCTCGTTATATTATTAGATTGACACATATCTGGTACTGGGGTGATATTATTGTATGAATTTCTGTCGGAGCTGAAATGTGAGACATCGATTTTTCTATTGCAGATTCCTATTTTGTATATCTAGGTTTAAGTATAAAATACCGAATGCTGGAAATACAGAAGAGATATTTTAAAAGTTCTTAGCAACTCCATATATAAATTATAATTTATTATGTAATTATTAGGATAATGTTGAGAGCATTGTTGACTCGCTGGACAAGTTGCTCGAGTAACGTGCTCATAGACTTTTAATAATACGAATTTCTAATCTTAATGGGGTTGTAGGCTGTGCAATAATCTTCTTTTTTCTGCGATATTTCCCATATTGCCTGACTAATGTTTTACATCGGTCTTGAAAAATTATACTCATTATGTTGAAATATGTGGCTCTATTCATCACTTTAGGTTATTACAAAAAACCAGAGACCAAGTTGCTATTAATAAGACATTTTTTCTAAGACATCACATTGAGACCTTTCAGTTACTTATGGATGCAGATGTGATTTATTGAGCAATATTTACTATCACAATTTCTTATTGATTACAATTTCTTCAAATAATTCTTAAGCCTTGTTATCATACATTATTTACAAACTGAAGATGCACTTTTGTGATATCTTTTTGTGTTGTATGTTCGTAGCTGTAGAGCTAGTATGAGGACCTTTCTATGACATACTTGTATATTGTAGTTACTCCATCTTCTAGTTCAGTATGTTAGAACAATAAAAAATACATATTTAATTATTTTGATGTTACTTAAATGTTGGTACTTAGGGCCTAAGTGTATTTTCTCAATGGAAAATGTAATGTAGTTTGTCAGATAAAATAGAAACCATATAAAAGTACATTAGATGTAGTTATTGTCAGCTTCATCATACAAAGTTAGGGCGCGGACACACTCGGCGCTCGGGTCTCTTGATGTTTTATACATCACGGGAATTTGAATGTGTAATATATTTTTTTAAAAATCAATAAAGAGTGATATTGATTATGTTCTTATTGTTTGATTTAACCCTTAATACACCTTTAGACATTTCCTCAGAGATATACACTATTGCGTGGTCAGTTTTAACCAAAAATTGAAACAGGTAGTATATTGAATATAGAGAAAATAAAAACGTAAGAAAAAAAGTTTTTTTAAGTCTATTGTGTAAGGAAGAAAACACTTACGTATAAATGCATCATCATGCATTTAAGGGCTAAGGTTTGAGGGTGGTTATAAAAAAACTTTTAAATGCAAACCTGCAATTTATTCAAGTACAAAATTAGTTAACCATACAAAACATGAGATTCAAAGTATTAATGTTTAATACATTATAGACTAGATTACATTAATAGTTTTATACAATTATTATTACAGAAAATTCTATTTCAATAACTTTCAAACAAGGAAAGCGCACTTGGTATGAATAGAGCCAAGTGTTTTTTCATTTGTGTAAACGTAAAACTATTTGCACATATTAATTTAATTTTTATTAATAAATACCGATCTCAAAAAATTAGGACGAAAAAGCAATACACGTAATTCAACTTGACACCTGTAATTGGACAGTCCACAAAGCTGGTGGAAAAAAGAGATTGACTCCAAAGTTCAATACGAGCTAACATTACAATATAGCACTTAGTAAAGTATTTTATTCAATATTACTTGACAAATAATATTTACATAAAGATTTATTATGTAGTAACTTTATAGCCTTGCCCAGATATTAACCTCCTTATGAGAGAGGGAGCACACCTTTGTCTAAACTGTCGCACAACAATTGTGCGATTATCGGTTGTTTCGCAGCCAATTCAACTGTTTAGTCGCACAACTAAAAGTGTGTTCGCACCTCCGTATAAGCTGATAGAAATCAAAACGCGACTAAAGAGATGTGCGATCGTTTAATCAAAGTTGTGCGCACGTTCTTACAATTTAATTTCAAGACAGTTATAAAAATCTAGTTTAATAAAGCTAACTGGCCATTTTTAGGAATTAACTATGATTGAATCTAGCGTAAGCTGTAAAAATAGTAGATGAAAAATAATATTTTATCAACATATCCAAGAAAACGTTACTGTTTGTTTCTTAACACAGTAGATTAGAGTTCAGAGTCGCTTTTAGCCCAGGATTTGTTTCTCGTAGTTTTGCGCATTACAGGGGGCGCTGCACTTTTGCTGCGCGGCTTTCTGCGCATCTTTCTTCGCAGTTTGCGCAGCTTTCCCCCGCCGTGCGCGGGCGCAGCGTGCCGCGTCGCTTTCGGCTCTATCTCCAGCTTCAAACGAGCAAACATGTCGTAATTTGTGATGGCACACATCATACCTAGAAGTATAAATAATGTTATACTTATTTGTAAGAATAAAAAAGGAGCATTAATATGATCATTTTTTTTGCCTTATCCAGACGCCGCGCCGATTCAATATAACGATCTAGAGATCTCGATCTCATGTTACAATGTCTTGGCGCTATTGAGTGATTTTATTAAATTAAAAGTCATACAGAAAACTGTCTAAAATAACGATAAAAGTGTATAAGTAAAGCGATACCTTATGTATAGGGCTTTATCCAAATACTTTAGTTTAAATATGTTGAAACTATGGTTATTTAACGCAGTTGTTCAAACACAGCAGTTTCGAAGCGTAGGTGCCTCAGTTGAAATATTTTATTCTCTCTTTTGATTTTATCATTATTCAATAGATCATATTTTTGAATCAAAATCCACGTAAAATAATATCTTTGATCTACACCTTGTTTGCTAACAAATGATATATTAGAAAAAACAAAGTGCATTGTACTTTACCATTGCAGTACTCTTCGCCGCACTCCGCACAAGACAATATTCTTGTTTCCGTTACGCCTGATCGATTTTTCGTTTTTTTCACCATGTTGTTTTTTGCGTACTCCCTCTTGTCTCGGGCCTTGGTTCTTAATTCCGATTTCCGTAATTCGATCAGCCTAAAAAAAGTTTATTGAATCTATAGACTAAATACAATTCTTATTAATTGAATTTAGTGTTTGGTTTATTTTTTGCCTTACCTATTGAAGTATTCTTCGTCTAATTTAGATTTTGGTCGTATTGATGTGAGCATCCGCCACTCTATCGGCACGGAACATAATTCTTCAAACTTTAATTCCCGCATTTCCACCGGTACTGGGTCCATAAATGTGAAATGCTTATCTTCGTAAGCACGGGTTCCAAGTTTTTCATATGCCCTTATTTCTTTCTTCGGTGTCTTGATTTTCTGATCTTCTGGTCTGTCTTTTATTTTAATATCTTCTGCTCTCACCTATAAATTGTAAATATTACTTAAGCATGTAAATGACAGAAACCAAAATACCCTAAAAAATCTAACTAGTAATACCTTTTCGGGCCTAGTTTTAAACTCCGGGACTTTGTCAAGGACAGCTCTGTACTCCTCTGCAGTGTTGATTGTAGTTTTAGATAAATCCAACATGGGCGCTTCATCTTTCTTCTTATCAAATAAATCATCTAATTTTGACATAATTTCTCTGACTTGTTAGCTCCACAGTTTAACACGAACTGAGCTTATCGATTTAACTTTCTTTGGCCTATTCCCTAGTAACAGTTGGTTCGATATCAAAATTGAAGTAGTTAACCTAATTTAAAGTACGTATTGCACGACCGGCTACATAAATTATTGTGCACTTAGTTACTATTATTTGTTTTGTTATTTATACCTATTAGTCTTAAGATTTCAGTTTTACAAAATTGTCTTGTTCTTCGTTACTGACAACATTGTCTCTTTTAAACATATTAAATTTATCAGAGTTTCGTTTAGTTTTGAGTTGAGTTTCATTTTCGACATCTAAATACTTGGAACTTCTTTCGCTGATGTCGTCCATCCACAACTTTCTTGCACCATACTTATCATTTATAAATTTTTGTGATAGTGTCAGCCTTTTCGGTAATTTATTATGCTCTAATCTTTCACCAGTGATTTGATCTAATGAACAGAATTCCTGTACATCAGCATTCGGACCTCCGACATTGTTATTTCTAGAATTGTCAGAATTAGAAAGTTTATTTCTCCAGTAAGACTGACTTAAGGAGTTACGCTGCTTAAATGTACCTTCTACTATTTTGTCAGATCTCGTAGGAGGGCTTGGTGAACGGCTGTCGTCGCTGGATTGCGACATATATTGTCTCGCTTGTGTCCGATGCTTTTGTCGTACTTTTCGCTTCTGACTATAGAAAGGATCTTTTTCACTTTGTTTTTTATATTGTGCTACTGGTTTATTAGCACCCCATTTGGGACGATTTTCTATATCTTTTTTGTACCTTTCTTCCGATCTTAAACGTCGATCTTTCTTAAAAGTGCTACGGCCACCGTCCTGCGGTGCGTTTTCATCAATATTAGGGTAGTCTTTGTCTATGTTTCTCTCAATATCAATCGTTTCTACATTTTTATCTACTTTATATCCTGATAAATCTGTCTCAGTTTGTGTAAATGCATCTTTTGTCCTGAGCGTTCGATATTTTTGAGGAGTTATAATTTTGCATCCCTCTGACGTATCATTATTGTTAATGAGGGAATTAACAGATACACTATATAAATTATTACTTAGGTTTTGAGGGACTAAAACTGCTAATTGTAAGCTATTGGGTTGTGTACTTACAATTTCCCCATTTCCGTTAATACCTAATGGTACAATATTGAACTGATTATCTGTAAGACCGATTGGGGGTACATTATGAATAAATAAATTAACATTACCAGCGCCCATTGCTCTAGGCGAGTTGAAAGCAGTTGATTGTCGAGAGCCACAATCTTTCTTTTGACTTTTAGGCGAATGAATATCATACGTTCTACTACTTTTGGTAGGACTTATGAGCTCATTTCTTTGAGAGTTTTCTAATGTTGCATTTTCACATAGTTTCGTCTTCTCATTTTCACATATAATTTCGGTGGAATTGCAAATTTGTCTGTGACATTTAAATTTTTTCTCCTTTTCGTTTCGTGCTCTCCTTTCCGCGTCTTCTAGCGCTTTTTTAAGAGCGTCCAATTTGCGTTGCTCCATCATTTGCTTTTCCTCGTGTTTTCTTTTTTCTTCCTCCATTTTGCGCCTATCTTCTTCTTGTTGTCTTTGTATTCGTATTTCTTCCAAGCGATCTTCTCGTAACTGTCTTTCTCTTTCTTCTTGACGTCTTTTTTCACGATCTTCTAATTGATTTAATATAGCAGATTGTAATTCTAAGGCTTTTGTTCGCTTGTTCTCCCTTTGTGCTCGAACTTCTGGTTCTAAAGGAACATTTTGACCCCTGAGGAAAGTTCTGAAAAAATGTTTAAGAACCATGTTAGAAATGATTTAGTTTTCATATAGTATTACGTTTTATATGAATGAAGGAAGGATACATACTTTCCTTCTTCGCTCCCATTACAAGATGATCTATCACAATCTAATCCAGAGTTCGTTGAGCTTCGCTGGTCGACGACGAGGACATCTGAGGTGTTGTCTAACATGTTCAATCCACGCTCTACCCATGATGGAGTACCCTTTTTTTGATTTTGCATCTAAATATGAAAAAATTACAGGTTTTTATAGTGTAAAACTAATTTTATACAGATAAATTGATTATTATTCGATTTTTATTTACCTGAGGCAGCCTTGCGGTGGGCGCGGTGGGCTCCCAAAGCCGGCCTGTGGCTACGCCGCGGTCCCCCCAGCGTGGCCGGCCCTCCTCCGGCGCAGGACTGCGTGCTGACCACGCGCTGTCCACTCCCATTGCCCCTGTCCGCATATTTACATTTTGTTTTCTGAAAAAAAAAGTATTTTGTGTGGATCTTCGAGGTGTGTGTATCAAGTTTACCTTTTTTAAGAGTGTTAAACAAAGCCGCAACTTGGAGTTATGGCTGAACGTTCTGAATAAAAAATGTAGCAATATTTTAAGTATTGAGTTAATAAGGTGACGAAGAATCCGTCATGCGAAAATGTATTTAAAGCGCCATGAAGGACGACAGTATTTTGCTCTAAAAAACGCAGCCACGATTTATTTCGTTTAGTTTTAGCAATATAATCGTTGTAGAAATATAACTCAACCACTATTACTTATTTATGCAATTCTCATTAAGTGCTATTTTCAGACAATTAGAAATTAGAATTTTGATTTATTCTCTACGGCACGTGTAGACTATTATTATGATCGCATCGCATGTTCTTTGGTTATAAAGCAACATTGCGTTTCCGAAAGCTAGACATTTTTGTTCAGACCATAGAAGCAGGAATCGGATGAAAGAATTGCATGAATGAGGATAAAACGTAATAATCGGTTACATCTAGTATCTCTTTTATTTCACTAGATATTGATATCACCAAATCATCGGAAACAATTGCAACACGAGAATCATATAAGACGAAATATTCTAGTTAGTTCACAAGAAATTGTTTATAGTATTCTCTGCTATATCATTTTTTTTTTACAAGACATGTATCCTGTTACAAGATCTTTTTACAAAATTATCAATTATTTGGTTACAGCTTCAATCCTTTAATTTAAATGATAATGAAAAAATCGCATAAGGTACCTGTTTTCTTTACCATCTTGTTGCCACGCTACAACAGGATTGCGGTCGCTGGTCCCATTCTGATTTCTATTATTCATATGATTCACAGTTTCACTTCCGTAGCCGGAAGTGTCCCCTTCGCCGTCTTCGTCGTAAAACGAAAACCTTTTTGCACTTGAAATATTACGATTTAAAACGTCTTTGCATCGCCGATCTTCTTTTATTTGTTTGGCAGCGTCTATTTGATGTATCGGCGGTAAGCTGGGGCTCCTCTGTCGTTGCACCGGCTCTTGGTATTCGTAAGAAGACTGCTTGTGTAACTCAAGAGAGCTCGCGAATTGGTTCCGAATTTGTAGGCGATTCGTGTATCGCTCCCCGGAACCCCACGGTAGATAAAGTTGGGACATCTCCTCTGCAAAAAACAAAAAGGTAAAAACTGAATATTGAATGAAGGACTGCAAATTTTTAATTTAAAATCACTGGTCGACCGCACCTTCCATGTCGATGGTTGAATACCGAGTTATTCTAAAAGAAACCACAAACGTAACAAAGAATTCCCCCTTATAAGCGAAGGGTTTTTTAAGTTTTATCGATACGCGTGCCGGGTTAGCGGCAAGTCGTCATGCATAGCAATTTCTGTTCATATTTAAAACCGTGATTATGCTTTTTCTATGTAGGACTTTACTATTTAACCCCATTGATAAACACAATTAGAGTTACTATTAACACTGTTAAATGCGTGTTTAAAGAGGTTAAGGAATTATATTTTCTTTGTTTACATTTCACATAAACTAAAATAGTTATTTATGCCATATTTAAATTCCGCTTTCTGGAATAAAATAAAGACTAATATTAAATTACGACTTATGAACATCAAATTATAATTTTGTAAACGTTTTGAGCGTAGATATAAAGTACATCTTAATACCAAAAAAGTATTTTTGTATCAATTTAAAGCATACTTGAATGCAAACGATACTATACATTGTACTCATTAAACTTTTGCTGATGCATAAAGACCTTGTTTTTGTTCTTTTGTTTATAATTGTTTAACAAGATCAGTACACGTGTTTCCTTTGACTGCTTTACAGGCTATTTTAGTCTCCTCTCAGTTCCTTGTAACCCATAATAATTTTAGTACAAGCAAAGTTGCTTTTCAGTAGAAATAGTTACGACTGTCACTGTTAAATTATATTCGTTTTGGCTAACACACTCACTTGTACTACGTATATTATTAATAATGAAGATGAATATGAACAATTGCGATTTTTCATTTGAATAATAACATGTAATAGTATTTTTTACTATTTAATATCGTGTTTTAGACGTACCTTTGTTTTCGCTACATCTTATAGTATTGCAGCGCCTATGATCGCAAGTTTATTATGTGATGCAACATTGTCATTGCAAAGCAGTGTTTCAACATCTACCCTCATTAGGTGTTTATAATTTTTTTTAGTCTATGCCGCGATCAAATTAGCCTAATACAATGTTATATATTTTTTTATTTTATAATTTAGTACATTACAACATAAGGCGATACAGAATAATTTTTGACAGTATTTTCGCTGTTACTATTTTTTTAAGTGAACGTTCAAGATAATAGTTTCTATTTCACGAAATCCTATATTATTTTTGCATCTAAGTGTGAAAATTACTTTTGAAATTGTCGCTTATGTAATTATCATGTGGATATTACGTCGGATTACTGTGCTTTACTTTCTAAACACCAGTAAGCACTAGCCTTATGCACAGAGATTGCTCTAAAAATAACATGCATGTCATCTTCCAACCGTTACAAGGAGCAGATTTACTAAAACTAACTGAATAAGAAGCATTGAAAAATCTAAATTTGTTGTTCGGACAAGATTTTAAAACTTTTACTGTTCTGTTTCAGATTGCTAAAAGTAGCTAAATTAGGTTAAATCTATTTATTTTTTTTAACCGACTTCCTAAAAGAAGTAGGTTATCAATTCGTTTTTCTTTTCTTTATTCACAGCTCATAAGATCAGATGATACGTCCTTAAAAAGATTCCGAAAATAAAGATACAATATTATTGTTAACATCCCATGCGTGTTTGTGTACCTCATCTTTAGACATGTAGCGATTGTAACTAGAACTGTTATGAACTTGTTAATTTATGGAAGGCAGTAAAATTTGTGCACTCAATAAGGAAACTACGTAAACCGGTAAAATTACTGTACTCAAGTCAGTGTTGTTGGTCAAAGTAAGTCTATACCTGTGGTTAGGACGTAACTATGTTTATATAATTATGCTTTCCATGTTAGTTTTACATATTACATTATGTACAAAATAAGTAATCTAGCAACGCTGTTATATTTTAATTAAAAATAATTTTTATTGCAAATTCCTAGAATCTTTATAAGTTTTTTGCATTTTCGTAGAATAGAAACCATTTAAAAATAATTTTATTATTATTTTAGTTAAAAGCAGATAGTAAACCTTTTATTTAGATTTTTAAAATTACGTACAATACAATTTCTGATAAGATTTGTAGATTAATTGCAAACTGTTAATGCAATTATTTAAAAAAAGTAGCATTGCAGCCGTTAGTTGTCTGTGGCTATCGCATTTTCCCGCCACGCTCTCTTGCGCCTGCACAGAGCTAACAAGCGCAGAATAATTTGTTTTATTATTTTAACGCAACAGCAAGCTTCAGTCGCTTATGTAATGAGTAGCAATCCTAAATTTTAAATTTTCCTTTTTATATTAATGTGTCTGTTGCTTAGAAAAATGTTTTCAATTAGTCACGGTCTTGTTAATACCAAATCTAATTAATCTGTTATACAGTAAACATTTTAGCAATTTCTTTCACAAGCGACGTAAAATAAATGCGATTATACTGCTAAAACATAATTATATGTATGGAAACAGATAAGGATTACGGATAATATAAAAGACTAATATCCAAATGTTAAGCTATAAAAAATATCTGAAATGGCTATCAATGCTCTATTCAAAGATTAATTTGACTCTATTGGGTTACTCTATAAATACTCTTCCCGCGTAGTATTGTAATAATCTATGCATTAGTATTGTAGTTCATTGCTTCAAACCTTGATGTTTGATTGATTGATGCGTAATTGTTTATCGTTCACCAACACTCAACACATTATTCTTTTCCTAACAATTGATATTGATACACAAATAGACAAAGAAAAATGTTTATGTATGTATAATACCAAATATTAAGATAATTTTGCGTTATGTTCAACGTTTTAGTACACTAGTACTTACTAAAAGTAAGTATCCATATTCTAATATGCTTTTAACTTCATTAGGAATTAAAAAGGAATTTTCAATGACCGTTGTATTTTAGGACATCAATGCAAACGAAAGTCAAGACAAATAATTATAGTTTATGAAACGTATAAAGTGCGTACATGTTAATGTGAATTTATTACTTTAATATTAATTTGTGGAATTTTATTCTTTATGGAAGACATAAATGTTTACAGAGAGTAGGCACGTTCTGCGTGTGATATAAAAATATTTGCCGGATGAGATATCGCTCTATACCTTTCTAAATTCAAGGTATTTTTTAATTATTTGTAAGATTATCGAAATAAATTATTCTATTAAACACACGTTCCATGTCTCTTGAAAAAAGTTAAAATTGTGAATTCAACTAAACAAATAACAACTCTAAAGTCAACTAAGAAGAAAAATGGCATAAAATCTGTACTCAAATTGTTACGTACATACCGATAATTAAATAAAATCTTGAATCAAATTTAATTGCCTGTTACGTGCATATGCCAATTTACTGGTATCAGTCACGGCACCGGTCGCCAAACGAATGTAAGGTCCACGGAACCACGGCCGTGGGTACGCACTCGACTGACTCGACTAAATGCTGCAATTGGTTTGAGTGGCGCGGATGGGGGCGCGGTACGCACCTCTCTCCCGCGCCCACTGCTGCTTCTTCTGCTGCACCAGAGAGGCCGGTTTGCTCACCGACAGCATAGCACCGCATCACCCGCCTGTCAACACTCGCCACGGTATCGCACACTCGCACTGAGACGCGTTGCGCTCGCGGTGCACCGGCTAATGAGCACTTCGGAGTGCTCTTTACAAGCGACCGCCCGCGCATCGCCGACAGCCGCGCGTCGCGCTTCGCTTCGCGCGTGCACTCATTGTCCGCGTCCGCCGGCCTGGCGCGTCGCAGATCCGATACAAAATCCCACGGATAACAATGTATTTTACTCTTTTTTATCGAATAACGGCGCGTAGCCTACATCGACCGCTCCCACATTATTACGTACACAACGATAACACCGATCGCGGTGAACGGTAAAGTACGACTGTCTCGACGTCTAGACGCTTAGTCCTTATTTCAGCGCGTGTCACGCAAACGTGAACGCTTCAGAGGAAAGCCTCGGAAAAGCCGTCGGTCGATATGGTAGTTATGGCAACGTTTGTTTCACGTGCTAGTAAAGAAATGAGGTTTTCTCTCATTTGAATTCTAGGCCGCCGTCGGGTGGGTGATATATGGCTATAAAATTTGGGGTGATTTAATACTAACATTCTTTGTTTACACTTGAGATCGCGTGCTCACTCGCGAGAGTACGTAAATAAATTCAGTTGAAAGTCAAACAGTCCTCGCTTGTGCCAGAGCTGGGACACTTGGTGAATAAGAATGAGAACAATGAAAGTGTTCTTCGCGTCGAGTACGTTACGGATCAAGTTAATGATATACAATGCAATTTACATGACCGTTTGTATAATTCGGATTATGTTTTTATTTTCATTATTATTATGACGTTACTAGAGCGTACAACATTTTTGTATAAATCATCCTATTTAAAAATTCAGAACACTTTCACATTAATGTATGAAGTTTGTTAACAATTAGGGTTAGATTATTATAATATTCGTTCGGAGTTTCTACAAATGACGCAGAGCTTGATGACGTCACGCTGTCACATTGTATCTATATCTACCTGCCGCGGCAATATTTGTTCCCTAGAATCACATCCATTAATAAATACCAAATCAATATGCTATGGCCTTGGTGATATGGTGATGCCACTGATGACTAGTAAACTTATTAAAAAAGATCAAGTATTTGATTGTTTTAGTTGATAAATTACTGACAATTCTCAAAATGAGACCATCATATTCCTTAGCACCTATAGCAAAACAGTTGTTCGTTGCAAATATTTTGTATAGCCCATTACTAGATAGCAAATCTCCAAAAAAATCCAGTTTCACAAACCTAGTTACTAGAAATTTACATACGAAAACTAAATTGTACGATAAAAAATCTAAATGGTTATGACTACTTTTTCACCCCCAGTAATATTTCGGCACACTATACATTGTAGTCGAAAGTTAGTTTTTCCAGGTACATAAAGACGTGTAAAATATATTTGCCGAGTGCTTGTTGTTTTCATAAGGTATCCGTAGTGATTTATGCTAAAACGACACAGGCTGACGTTTCCGTCGACTTGTGGCAGGGGTGTAGTTCCACATACCTACCTTACGAAGTGGGTCAGAGAAAACAACGACCCTAGGCTGCCAGAGCCACGTCACCATCTCAAGTCGTATGCGGCATTTAGCTATTTTTATACACGACGAAAAAAAATGTTTAACAGAATATGTAAGTAGATTGACCTATACGGGTTCGGTTTAGTAGTCGTTTTTAGCTGATTTTTCACTAGTTTCCGTATTTCATAATTTATCAGACACCATTCTGATAAAAAAATTGTATGTAGTGTAGGCGGCAATTTGACGTTTCGTAACGCAAGGACGCGACACAGCGTTTGTCGGCAAAAAACTAAATTAGATTTAGTCCTTCCAGAAATTCAAAACATCTCAAATTAAAATTTAAACAAGGTTTCATTTTAATGTTTTAAGGTTTGCTGTTGAAAACTTGAATTTAATTTCAATCGTATAAAGATAAATTTTGAGATAAGGGATACTCTTGCTTTCAATACGTATAGGACATACAGGTTTTTTAGAAATAAGACAAAGGTTAGGAACTAAACTTATTTTATTACTTAATGTTATTAAGAGGTAATCACTTTAGAATGCATATCTGGTTCTAATGTCTTCCAGTTTTTTGGAGACCTCAGCGGGCGTGCGCTCGAGGTCGCCGGCGATGGCCTTCTGCTTGGCCGGCTCCAGCGAGTTGAACTGCTCGCACAAGTCGCCGTCTATCACGTTCTGAAACAATAGCATTTACTCTCTCAAGGTCGGCTCAGATGCACATATTCACACACTAGTTGGACCGTGAAAATGTGAACATTTAAACAATTTTATAAAATAGGTATGAAATAAACTTCCTCGACTTTAGTTTGTTGTAATATAAATGTACATTCCAAATACTACGGACAGGCGGATGCGCCGCGTGGCCGACTCTCAGGAAGTGGTCGGTGGAGGCGCGGGGAGCGCGGCCGCCAGCACGGCCGCCGCGCGCCGCGCCGCCCCGCCCTGCTCTGCCACCAGTCTAACACAACTGCACGATATAACACGCAGCTGTTGACTTACTGTGGATACTATACCTTTCAACTATATTCTACTGCTGCGTCTCAATTTAAAAAAATCTGCGAGACTCGCTAAGTTAAGAGCTAAGACATCCGATCACGTGGTTGTTGAATGCCCGGTTTGAATCTTGGCCAGGTATAAAGTATGGCCTCAGCATTCACACTATGCCAGACAGAGCAGAACCACCTGTACTGGGCAAGTGCAAACCGCGCATAAGAAACGGTAGTCGCGTTGAACTTACTTTGACCGGATAGTAGTAGCTCCTAAAGGAGAGGTGGTCCCTGCCGCAGAGGGGCGCGTTCTCGCTGCGCATGTGCATCTCGAGGTGCTGGAAGAAGTCGTGGTCCTCGCGCGAGGTGAAGGGCAGCAGCGCGCCGAGCGCGCCGCCCGCCGTGGCGTACAGCAGCGCCTCGCTGCCGCCCGGGATCAGCGTGGCGCGCTGCAGTGACGTCACCGTCTCGCCCACGTGGAAGTTCACCACCACCTCGCCCTTTTGAGACGCTCCGTTCAGTAAACCTAATAGTAAACAGTCATTACTCAATTGTCAAGATATAAGGTGTATTAATATGTGGAGAATGGGTTCAGAACTTTAAAATAATCATTTATTTTCATTAGTCTAGCATGTGTTAATTTGTGGTATCATCATTAGAATCTGAATAGTAAAATCAAATGTTAAATTAGTTGTATAAAACAATGTTTTAAATAATTTGAGAAGCTGTTAGCTTTAGGACACTCACCTCTATCCCAGAGCGCCTTGTTGCCGGTGGGGTCCTCGTCGACGTCGTCGCTGACGGAGTGCGGCAGCCTCATGACGGCCACGTTGCCGAACTTGTCGGACATCGCGACTGTGTCGTAATCCAGTACACAAGTGTTCGTTATCCATCTCGGATTTGTATCATCGGCGAATATAATCAATTGATTCTCTCTCTTCTTATACTTAACGCAGAATACTGATTCTTGTACGTCGGCGACAAAAATTCTCTGGCCTATAGTTTTAATGTCGGCGATTAGATTTGGAATGTGTCTGTTTTCGCATTTCCTGAGCAGCTTGCGGCGGCCGATGTCGTACATCCTGAGCATGCGGCCGACGCCCGCCATCAGCCTGCCGTTGAAGGCGGCCAGTGCGCCGGGGTAGTCGTCTATTGGTGTTTTATGGACTAGTTCCAGTTTGCCAGTACTGGAGAATATCTAGAACAAACATTCTATTGTTCAATACTATAAATAGAGATTAGCCAGAATGGCCTTGCGGACCGCAGACTATAACTGTAACTTTGGGCGTCGCCAGGACAGTATCAGTGAGATAAAGAATAAAATATGTTGCAGATATATAAATACCAGCTGTTGCTCTCAACTTCGTCTTTTTTTTAAATATAGCCCCTCTATTGCTCAGCACTATAAAATAGCTTTTTAATAGTGAAAGAATTTTAGAAATCGGCCCAGTAGCTTAGAGTTATTTTAATACAAAAAAAAATGTACGACCATATAGCAGCTGCCCATACTAGACCTAATCATCGGCTAGCAACCCCCATGACGTACGAGATAGGTACCTTGTACACATGCAGACTGCCCTCGCTGCAGGACCTGGGCGAGAGCACCATGTCCTTGGCGACGCCGACGACGAGGTGCGGCAGGCCGAGGTGCGCGTGCGCAGTCCAGTACACGATGCACATGGACACGGCCGCCTCGTTCTGCTCCAGCGGCAGCTTGTACAGCGTGCTGGCCTGCGCGCCGCCCGCGCCGCCGCCCATCTCCACCACGCGGATCTGAGACGCCCACATACCTGCCACACACATTCTTATACTATATACCAGGGATGTTGCGGATGTTGATTTTTTCACATCCGCGGATGCGAATGCGGATGCGGAGTTTTGAGGGCTCACATCCGCGGATGCGGATGTTAAGATAATATGTAAACCGTCATCATCATCATCATGATTTCAGCCTTTATTATTAATATTTATATTTGTATTGTAATATTAACTTAATTAATAATGTTTTTATTGTAATTAATCAAACATTAGTATACAGGGTTATTGATTAGACGTATTCCCGTTAGGAGGTAATAGAGGGGATCATTTGTGATAATTTTGACCCCTATATGCAATATCCAAAAGTTAACCGTTTTCGAGTAATCTTGATCTTTCGATTTTTTCAAATTAATTCAATTTACTTAAACTTGTATTTTTAGGGTGAGTTGCATCAAATCGCTGGTTATCGTAAAAGTTATAATAGGGTTTTACAAGTGCAAAAACATATTCTCACAGAGGTTTTATGTGTTTTTCGTTTTTAAAATGGAAACATTTAAACCTGAATGTCACTAAAGTGTCAAGTTGGTGTCAAGAATGACATTTACGTAAATTAAAATGTTTGGAAATTCATGTTTCGCCGATTATATTTATGTATCATACGCATGGTATTTTATAGTGAAATAAACTTTTTGCCCACGAAGATGGAGAAAATGGCAAACTCTTGTGAAAATAAACTAGTTTGGTCCATTATTGAAACTGTATTTACTTTACTACTCAAATATGTAGCAAAAATGAAGCAATAAAATTATACAAATATAAATGCATCTTATTTATTTTCCATATTATAAATTGTCCTGTCAATGCATATTATAAATTGACCTTTTATGGAGGACATTTTTTTAAATAAGAGAAAAGGGACAAGCGCTGTTGCTATGGCCTTAGACACTCGAAATTTGTCCAAACTGAATGTTTGGCCAAATTTCGAGTTCCATCTTGGAAATCCATTATTTCCGAGCACGCAAGACTTTATTCTTCTGGATTACGTATAGGATAATAGTAGAGATTTTCTTTTTCCATTACTTTTTCCATTATTTGTGCTTTTGAAGATAAGAGCTTGTGACAGTTGACACTACCGAACTGACACTAACCGTAACGCTAACTATAACCGCCCAAAATCGGGCGGTTATGATTAGTGTCAAATATGACGTCATTTTGACCAGCGCAAAACTGGTGTAGCGAATATCATGAACATCCGTAGACGTAACCATCGGGAATGTGCTGGTTAAGGTTTATAGTTAGTTAATGTAACTCACCCTTAGTAAATTTTAAGGTTATTCCAAATATTACCGTTACAAATAATTTTAACTTTAACGGTAACCGGCGATATGGTGCAACTCACCCTTAGTTTGTTTTACGTTTGTTATTGTTTTTAAATACTTTTATGGGAGTTTTCAAAACCAACCGTAACTTTAATTCGAGTATAAATACCGCCGGATTCCTTTGAAATCATGTGTTTATTACAGTGAGGACAAGTTCCTGGTTATTATGCATTTTTGGAGAGCTTAGGAAACGGGCATGTTTTTAAAAAAATCTGCAGACTAAGTTCCATAATTATTTTCTTTGTTTTTAAGGCATTTCACTGGATGAGAATCTCGAAAAATATTGAGGTAAAATGTTTCTTTGGCTCGCATTTTTTAATTTGGACAGATAAATGATGTTTTTATATTGTAAAATAATCAGTGTTTAATGGTTTTTATAAATCTGAAGAAAAAAATAAGTTTTCATTGATAGTTTTTTTAAATAAATTTTTGAAGTTGCAATTTCGACTTATTTTGAAAAAATCGAAAAATGAAGATTACTCGAAAACGGTTAACTTTTGGATATTGCATATAGGGGCTACTAAATAATTGTTCGCTAGAAACACTGCCCGGCTACTTGTATGATATTCGCATCCGCATGAACAACCGCACTGATTAATGCGGATGCGGATGTCCAAATTTATGCGGAAGTTCCGCATTTGCGGATGCGGATATTCCCAACATCCCTACTATATACTGGTAAAATACTAGAAACACCTAGGCCTCTACGAGCTTCTTATAGATGAAATTTTAAAATAATCAGCTGTTTTAATAAAAACGGTGGATTAAACTACCAAATTTTGTATACTAGCTGTTGCTCGCGACTTCGCCCGCGTAAAACAAAAAAAAATGGCCTATGTTAGTCACTGACTAAGTAACTTTCTAATGGTGAAAGAATTTTTGAAATTGGCCAAGTAGTTTTTGAGTTGTTTCAATACATGCAAAACTACAAATCTATCCTCTTTATAATATTAGTATAGATCTACATTAATATTGCATAGAGTAAAATTTGGATTTGCTAAACTACTAAACTAATTTAAAAACCATTTGTTGTTAGAAAGCTACAAAATCATAGTAATATTATTCTTAAAATTCGAAAACCAAGTTATGAACAATGCCTAGTTGATTATAACATATGTATCCTATGCTTGAATCAAATGACTTACACAAGTCATCTGGGATTAACGCAAGGAATTGTTATCGCCACAATCGATTAGAGCGAGCATGTTCGTCGACATAATACACTCTTGCCCAGAGAATGTGGCTAAATTAAACCTGCTACACACCTTCAATTATAACTGAACAGTTGGATTGTTTAGTTAAAACGAACGATTGTTAGCAAGTGTTGAGCAACCCAAGAGTTTACAAACTCATGCTTAGTGTGTGAAAGAGCTAGCTAGCTTTGATGTTTAAAAATTCAACTCACCCGCTCCTGCTTTCGGTGAAGAGAATACATTTTCTGGCAGCACATCAGATAGGAAGGCATCTGCCATTTCATTGGCCAACTGTTGTTCTTCCGGCCCTCCGCCCGTCGCAGCTTCCCTCATCTCCTGTGCCATTTGAACTCTGGAATAATTAACTTCATTTAGGAAAACACTAAACTATATCTTTAATAATATATTTTTTTAGGAAAGATCAGTACTGCAGGAGTATCAACATCGAATTCAGGTTTTGTGTGTAAAGTTGTCATCATTAGAAGAAATTTAAATTTCTGAACAAAGTAAAATATGAGTAACTGAAAATCAATTCCAAAACTTACCTTCTTAGCTTTTTCATTTCCTCAGTGTATGCATTGTGATCAGTCTCCAATACTATAATATGATTGCTGTCAGAGTTAATAACGAATTTGCGAGGTGTATAGTCTAAGGGCAGGTAAGTTTGGTTGAACACAGCTCCCAGCTTCTCCAATGCAAGAATCCTTAGAGTATTCGACGAAATGGCGACAATACCTTCCGCACATTGTTCTGTCAAAAAGGAACAGTGTTAATTGTGTTAAATTAAAAAGTACAAAAAAAAAAACCATTTAATTTTAATTATAACTTGACATTTCCTTTACAAAATAAAAAGAAATAATAAAGTGTTTGTCCACGGCATGGTTTTGCCTCCTTCATAGTCTGAACGACGCCAGTTAGGCTATGGAATATGCCGAGTGCCTGTCTCTACCGCGAGCGGGAGACAGACATTATCTGCGACGTTGTGGGCACATCACTGCACTGACAGCTACGCTCCACTCTCGCATGCACACGCCCGGGGGCATGCACATGCAAACACGTCGGTTGTTACGTAACTCAATATGGTTAATTTAATATTTACCTGAACTAAAACCGGCCGCATACTCCAAGCATTCATATGAGAGAGGTGTTAAATGGAAGCGATTTTGATAATGGTATCCCAGCCAAGTCCTAGACGACACAGCCAAAACTGCCTCCGCACCATGCACTCTCACTTTGAATAACTTCACTGGTCTTGAACCTAAGTATCTGAAATTTTACAAATTTTTGTAATATTCTCCTTGGTCAGATGAAATAATTTAATTTTTGTAAGTAACCTCAGATCTGGTTAATTAATCGTCAATGTTTTTCAGATGAAACACGGAGCGAATAAGGTTGACATCATTGGTGAAAATTAATATATTTAGGACACAAAATTAAAGTCCATTACCTAGTCCTTGTATCAGCTAAATCCCCACTGACAGAATCTAAAGTTGTTCTCAGAAGTACACCATTGCTTAAACCTATGTTTAAATGTAGTGCAGATTTTGCACCAGATTCAAATGGCTGTTCAACAATGCAGAGAGACTCTGCACCAGCGGGAAGAGCTTGCATAGAACGAGGTGCTAGACAATCCTGCAATCAATAAGGAATGTTTAGTATTGAAACAATAAATCATTTATTTTATATGCATAAAAAATTCAATCAGCAGTATAGAGAATAACGCATTTAGGTTTTTATAATCAATGATACTCAGTGGTGTCCTGGTGTCATCATATTAAACAAATATCTGAAAAAAAAACAGTTCAAATGTAACTTACCGATGGGTCTAATGAAATAATCCTGACAGTGTTGTCATTTAATCCAACAGCCAAGAACCAAGCCCGTTGTTCCCCGGTCGCTACAGATCCTAGCGCCATACAAGACACATCTGATGATAGTTTTTTTCTTTCTGTATATTCATTTAACTGCCCAGTCTATAAGAAATAGGAAATATTAGTCAAGAATTTGCAATCGAGGTCATCTTGAGGTTAACATTTAATTTTTTTTTGTCCACAGCATGGTTTTGCCTCCTTCACAGTCTGAACGACTCCAGTTAGGCTATGGAATATGCCGAGTGCCTGTCTCTACCGCGAGCGGGAGACAGACATTATCTGCGACGTTGTGGGCACATCACTGCACTGACAGCTACGCTCCACTCTCGCATGCACACACCCGGGGGCGTGCACATGCAAACACGTCGGTTGTTACTTGCGATACTCATATTGTAATTTGATTTAGTTCACAATGAATTGGTAAAAATTAATCCGATGGTATAAATAGGAAAGATTGTATTTTTGTATGTAATAAACTCAAAAAATACAAGTGAGTGACGATTTTTTTTTTATCCCGCGCACACATATGTATGTGTGCAATCATTAATATTGAATATAGTTAGTTTAAAATAATGAACTTACAGGATCCATTTCAAAGTACACAAGTTCTCCTCCAGTAAGTGCAATAACGACTTGTCTTTGATTGACGGCGCATTTCACGATGGACTTCTTGCCCGGAGCCTTCCATTCATTGACACGTTTGTCTGCTCTTATGTGTCTTATACCGTCCGGGTACACTTGCACTAAAGCATCGCTGCCCAGCGCGTGGCAGCACAGCGTCGGCGTGGTCCCCAAGAAACCAGAGTCCGTCACTTCTTCAACAGTTTCCCCAATAGACAGCACAAGAGTCGCGTTCACGAACGACACTATGATGTAAGAGTCATATTCCTCTGTAACCAAAGAAACAAAATAATGCAAAATTTGAAATTTTACTAATTGTCAGTGAATGTAGACTCTTCTTTGCCGTTGCAGCCTCCAGTGATGAATAATGGAGTTTCTGATGCCTACCTTTGTCATTGATGGGAGCATCTGATCATCGCCGGATAGTAGATTCTGAAAATAAAAACCACTGGTGTTTATGTCTGACAAACAACCAGGGTTTTATTAGTAATTGTTGATAAAGAGGAGCATTCATATGTGGTTATTGGTAACGTCACGGCATTTCAGTAACACGGACCAATTTTTTTAATCATTAAGCTCCTTTGTGTGATTTAATCCTTTTTACATTTAGTCTTGAATTTTGTAACAAAATTTCTGAATTATTGCATCTTCCACAGATTTGCTGGACAACTTGATAAGGCTATTTTAAAAATGTGTATAGTGTTAAATTAGGAGATAATTACAATTTTTTACTTAAATACTCACCATCTTTGTGTCTTCTGACTGTCCATACAGCATTGGGAGAGCCTGGCAGTTCAGAGACCGCCATTTCTGCTACTTCTAAACCATGTCTTAAAGCTCTTAAAGAAGATCTAGGTCCTCGACCACATGCTAAGTATACTTGAGGTGTATCTTCGCCAGTCAAATCCGCCACGCGACATGCTACAAATAAATAATGTATTACAGAATTTACAAAAAAATTTGTTGAAATTATCAATTTACATTTTAATGGAAAAGTTCTCTACTTTTTTTTTTCAAATATATTCTATCCAAATGTTAATGGAGCATTAATTCCATTAAAATTTGAAATATTTGATTCCAATTTTTTATTTAAATATTAAACTGATTTAATGGGTTTTTACCTAATATAGGTGATAGTGAGTCCAATTCATCAACCAAAACTAAATTCCTTAGAGGTCTGGGAGCAAAGAAGAATGTATCTCCTTCCTCTAAAGGCATTGCAGAACTGAATTCCGGTTCATCATCTTCATCTCCCAAATGTGCAATTTGGTACAAGTAGCTAAAAAACAAAACTTCAATTAAAATTCTGACTATTGCCAGATTCCTATTGGAAAGAATTAAATTTTTTATAATAATAAAAAGTGTATATCTCAAATCAGTGTGCACATACCTCATACGTAAGGTAGGACCTTGGTTCAGAGATAAATTAATCTAGCATATTAAAAAAAAGGTCAGAATAGGAAAATACTATCCTCACATGTCAATATGCTGCTTTAATTTAAACTTTAATGAAAAAAAACATTTAGAAGGGATTATAATACTTACTGGTTACCAAATTCACAGGCGACAAAGAGAAATCCAGTTTTCAATACACACATGGATGTTGCGACAGGCACAGTATCAAAATATTTGAGTTTTATTTCAGTTACCATATCATCATCAGTTTCAATTGTAATTTTAAATATATCACCCTGTTCAGTTTGTGCCAGGAAGAAAAACATGGATTTAGTTTTGTGTGTAGCAGAGCATACAAATATCATTCCTCTTTCAGGATCATCCAAATCATTACGTCTTCTTGGTATAGGACAACGGATGTCATGTTGATCACCCAAGTTTTTGTATGTTAGGTAGTTTTCTGAACATATAAGCACTCCAGAAGGACCATCATTGCCTCCAGGAACTGTTATAAGAAAGTTTGCATGCTCCTCCAATGGTTCGGAATATTTTCTCACTACATGGTTCAAGCCCAAATCTAATTCGTAGAATGTTAATGTCTGTTGTGTTTTTTGAGCAGCTTCACCTGTAAAGAAAAATAATTATAAACACACTCATTTATAACTTTTGATTTGAGACAATATTTTTATTGTGTTCATATGTGTGAGGGTTTAACGTCATGGGCAGTCGGAAACACGGACCTCAAAATAATCATTAAAATTTTTTATTAAATTCAACAAAACTGGGAGCAATACTTTGTAATAGTGAATAAAATTGTAGGTCAAGTAGGAAAAGATTAACATTAAAGTTTTAGTTCTTGTGCTGATAAGTGTTTTGTGGATTACAAGTGAAAAAAAAAAAAAAAAGTTGACAAAACTTACCAGTAGGATCAGAATCAGCTTCTTCATAATCAATTTCCAAACATGCAAACATTGGGTTTTCAAAACCAACATCCACTCCCACCATGTGGTAAACCAATGTGTTAGATTTATGAGCCTCTAGCGGTGATGAAATTGTCAATCTAGCCTCCGCATCTCTGTTCAGAATGTACACCAACTTTTGCTTTTCTATTGCACCTAAGAAATGACAAAATTTGTATCAAAGCCACACAGCAAGTTCATTCATATGAAAAAATCTTGGAAAAAGTCTGCACTAGTCGGAGTAGTAGATTTAATTCATTACAATAATACAGGTCTACTGTTAAGTTATTTACCTCTCCCAAGGTATTACTTACCAATCATAACCGCTCTTCCTTTGGGGTCAATGGCCAAATATTGTCCGGGAACAATGCGTCTGCAACCAGACTTCCCAAATGTTTCTTGATGTACCTTCTCTAGAATGTTCTTGTTTGCGATATATTCAAGAATAACAATTCTGCCCGAATCTGAGCCAATCACAATATAATCTGCAAACAATAAAAACCTTAGTATCGTACTAGTATGTCAAATTACAAATAAATTTTTTTTTAAAAATTTGTACCATCACTACATACATCCCAACAATTAAAATAAATCGCCAAGAGCGACGCGTTGGATATAATCTGTGCATTTAAGTTATACCACACGCCTGTTTGCAACAGGCGCATGGAGCAAGATAATGCAGTAACCACATGGGTGCATAGGTTATCAAAACACGTGCTAAAAGGTCACTCACCTTTAGTGCCGCCGGTAAGACGAAATGACATCATAGATCGTATGATGCCAAATATCTCCACTTTCATCAATGTGTGTACTTTTCCTGTGTTAGGATCCGGTCGAAGCAGCTCTAAAGTTTTTCCACGTGATATCACTATTTCTTGTTGTTTTGTACCAGAAAAATTACCATGCACCGCATGAGTAATGGCTGTAGAGCCTTGCAGAGTCAAATTGTAAAGGTACATTTTCAATTGTACATCAATCCTAGAAAATATTTTATAGTCAATACATTGCCGGTCAAGAATAAATTCTGAAATATAACATTATTGAAAATGTAAGGCTCGTAACTGACGAAAGCAGAGAGTTCCTTGTGCTTTCGAATGGGTGAGCATCAAATTACTATTGCACTGTAAAAACGACCACGATAGATGAGAGAATCTATCATGGAGATACCTAGTGCAAATATTCTCAAATACATAAAGCATTTTAGTTTGTGAGTAAAATAGACACTTACCTTAGTTAAAAACAAATGTGATTGCAGCAATTCAGCACGATATATTTCACTTCTTAAAATTTCATAAGTAAGCCACCGCAAAATGGCTGCCGCACCGGTGACCGACGCCTCGCAAAGTATTGGCTCCATGCTTGAATTCACGAATAAGCGCCGCAAAGAGCAGACGCCAACGGAATAGACCAATCAAAATGGGCCAGATTGAAATATGGCGGCGACTTTTATAACCTTGGGGTTGCCATTATATATATTTTTTGATAATTATGTAACAAGACCATCTAGTATCAAATAGGTTAGCAAGCTACTGGATGCTAGATGGCGTTGTTTGGTATGGGGCGACATCTATTGGCCATAAGCTCACCCATGTGGACAATTGAATACTCTCACAGATGGCGTTATGCATGTAGGATCCTGAGATTAGTTTTACCTACTTTAGCCTGATATGGTAATCAAAGAAATGAGACTGCTGACCATTCCTAATCGGAAAGACATAACGTTAATTTTTTTCAATTTACTTGGATTTACCACTAACGTTAAATTCCCAAAAGTAGGTAAAATGAGTCCTAAAAATTAACGATATCGCACTATTAAATTTACAAATAACAATCGACAACGTTTGAGAAAAATATCGTCGCGTAGGTGGAATTTATTTGAATTATATAAAGTATTATAACTATGTGTTGATTTTTTTTTAATTTAGACGTACTTAAAAACTTATTCAATACTAAATGTTTCTCATAAATGTTTAATGTGAGAACACCTGAGGATTTAATCTCGACGGAATTTAACAGTTCCAAATAAGTATTGGGTATATTTTGAAAGAGGTCTTTGGTCCATTGTGGTCGGTCTTTTAATTCTATTTTGTGTCGGCGCGGCTTCACAATGTATCTGTTCTCCGGCGGGCCTGGCTGGGGTCGGCGGGGCGGCGGGGGCGGCGGGCGCGGGGGACGCGAGGGCACACCTGAGTATTCGGACCCATTTCACTTTGAGACGCCGCGTTCTTTATTGGATCATCCGTCAACAAGAAATTCAATGCGTATTTTATTATTGTCCAACGGTTACCTTGTGTGCCAGTATACTGTAAACTGTTCTGTTATTTTGTATATAAATAAATGTGTTTTTATTTGAACAATTTATTTTGCGATATTTATTTTGAAAAAAGTCACACGGATACACTAGTAAAAAATGTTTGATACTGTCGTCTTTTCTTAGTATTAGAGTGTAGCTACAAGCTTATAGCCTGTCACATTTTAGACCAATCCACTCTTATGCATACCTGTGCTATGCGCTGCATATATTTTAATATTGTGAATATTCTCTATATTATACGACTGATTTTAAAATGCCAGCGACCACGTAAATAATTGAGTTATATTTATATCTTCAATTATATCTTGAAAGCAATTTACATACCAATTGCGTTTGTAGAATGTACCTTGAGGTAGTATTATGTGATTAAATATATTGTTTACTAGCTGTTGCTAGCGGCTTCGCCCGCGTGAAATTAATAAATTTAGCCTATGTTACTCTCTGATATCGCGGATTTTTGATAATGAAAGAATTTTTGAAATCGGACTAGTAGTTTTTAAGTTATTTCAATGCATACAAAAACACAAATCTTTTCTCTCTATAGTATTAGTATAGGTTTACACTCGAAGACAGTAGGGCAATGTTTTTTGTGATTTTTGCAAATTTAAAAACCCTAGCCTGGGTGTGCTTCAATTGTCTTTGTTTTTTTCAATTATATCATGTTGTTTATACATGTTTCATTTTCCGCAACATGGCGAGGGTAAGTTCTGGATAATCTACATGTATAATAATTCCATAGTCACCTTCTGGCTTACACGGCGAAAACAATTTTGTTAAATTTTAATTTACGAGTATCTCCGATAATAATCCACCGTCAGCAGAGTTTTTCGTTTTTCAATAAACAAATAGTGTTATGTAGAGATAAAAGAGCAACAATTGACTACAAGCATGAAGTGTTGCCTGATTCACGAATGTTTGGTTCCGGCACGTGTCATTGTCTCGTGTGTTTTGTTAGAGTTTCGAGGAACTACAAGCATAACATATACCGTGACCGTGTTTGTTGAATTGACCGTCAATGCGATATACTAATGTCAATTATATAGTATTGTGTTGGACAATGTTTGTAAACTGGCGGTGAACCAATATTTTTTTGTATAGCTAGCTTTATAAAAATAGTTAAATGAATAATCACATGTGCCAATGATATAGACGACTATAGAAAAAATGTGAAGAGATAAGTTTAAGAGTATCAATGATGTGTCCTACCGCAGTTTGTAAGTAATTTTGATATATTTACCTTTTTTATAACATGATTATTACACATGCAATTCTAGCGTCGGTGGCAGAGGGGTTTAAACACTTGACTTGTAATCTACAGGTCCTGGGAACGAATCCCGCTGTACCAATGTGATTATCTATTTTCGAATTTTCATTTGGACATATCGGAGAAATTCAAAGACATGTGGGAAGTCAACCCGCAGTGGGCCAGCGTGGTTGACTATGGGTCTAGTCACCCCTTATTTAGGGTAGGTTCCCCTCAGTGGGGACGTCTAGTGAGCTGGTGATGATGATGATACGTGCAATTAAATAAGAATTTTTCCATGTAACGAATGAAAAATTAATAATTTTAATTTGTTGAAAAGCTCAGTTTTATGTATTAAACTTTAATCTATTTTTAATAATAATTAGATAATCATGTATAAGAAGGTTGAAATCAGTATAACTAATATTAGAACGTTATAATATTTGCATTGACTGAGAATAATATTTAGGTTACAACACGTGTCATTGAATTTTGAATGATGTTATTAATTCAAAGGTTATATTGTGTTTTATCAATTAACTGACGATGGGGTAGTGTTCTGATTTATATACTTACAGTCAGATTACAGGTTATATAAATATTTTTTTGATTTTTATCAAATTTTACTATATTTCGAAAATATAAATTATTTTCAGAAGACAGCTTAACCTATTTTGCAATATTAAGTTATAAGATTCAGGTTCATTAGAGTTTGTTGCACTTAAAAATATATTTCTTATGGTAAGGTAACTTTTACTTTATGTCAAGCGACGACACAACTGGTTATGAATCTCTAAATTTTATTAATTTCGTTGGTTAATATTTAAATATATTGGAGACACGATAGGGATTAATCACAAGTAAGTGCATGTTATTTTGTTTTGTGTCTATAGGAATGCAATATGGCCAACCCTAAATCCCAGTGTAAACATTCCACCCAAAGGGGGCGCGCGGGAGGGGACGCCAATGTACTATAGGGTTGCCACTTTACATTTAATTTGTATTATTTTGCAATTTTAAACAAATAAATAGTGTGTTGGTGTTGTTACATTACATGTGTTGTTCATATTCCTAAGATAAATAACTTTGAATCAAGATATTTTAGAAATAATGATAATTTGCATTTGCTTTGTTTTCAAGAAATAATCTTATGTTGTTTTTTCATGTTTTTTTATAAGGAAACGGCCAAAATCGGAAGCCCTATTTCCACCCTCCAATTCAGTCCCCATCCCTTCTTTAATAAAACATCTCGATAATGAAAAGTCAGACAGTCATAGAGGGTGGCGAATTAACCCTCGGTCCCGGGGTGCGCGGAATCACGCGAAACTAAATTTTACGACCCTGGTAAGAGTCGCTAAAATTAAACGATACGACACACATTTGCAATAAATATCTTAATGATATGGAATCAGAAAGTATCTTCGCGTTTCGCTCACTAAACAAGGTTTCAAGAGTTTTAGTAGTTTATTTTAAAATGAACTTTATTTCTTTACATATAACAATGTTTTTTCAAGGCGTAGAAGTTGCGGATGATTGGTACATGTCAGTAAACGCGGTATAGTTTGACATTCATTGCGTTTCATTCAAGGCGGCACGTGCGGGGCCACCTGTCGTTGATTTTGCACTTAGAGGTCTTGCAATGCAATTACGAAAGTGTCTATTTTTTGGGAAAAAATACTAAAGTGTCATGTTTAGATTTAGTACTAGTAAATATCGTGATGGCATTGTACTTGTTGGAAGAGTTAGGATTCCAATTCTCTTTTATTTTCCCACTTCACTTTTTCTTTTCTCTTATTCTTCATATTTTATTAGATGTTATTCATGTATAAAAAGCGTGTTGATGTCATTAACGAGGTTTAAGTTTTCATTTCGCTGGTAACTGTGCATTTTATTGAATTCAAATCTACGATCGATCGTGATATACATTTTTACGAAGGTTAGCTGTGTTTTTATATGCGTTAAGAATGTAAATATCCGCATTATATTTGATAGATGAAATCCAATACTATGCAATAAAATGAGGAAAGATCGTCTTATATTATACCAGTTGGTATAACGTGATTAGAATATTTAGAAGTGAATGCAGGCGCTGTCCCTACCTTGGTGGATAGAAAGGCATGAATTACACGTATAAAACTGCTATTTAGAATTGACATAAAACGTTTCCTTTCAAGATATATTTGTTCTCTCTTATCTTTAACTTCATTTAGTATTCCAACAAGTAAAAGCTATAAAGATCGGGTGTATAAATCGTATTGACGGTGAAATAGAATTTATTGTAATAAAATACTGCCATGATTTAAATGAAATAATCGATTCGAGTCTCGTTCGATGCAAATGTCCGGCGCCGGATGCGGACCTCCCAGCTACCAGTGACAATACGAATGCATAACCTGCGTCGACACGAATTCAAAATGGCGCCTCGCTTTATAACTGTCACAGATTCATTGTGAACATCGTCAGTTTGTAATCTGACCATCGTTTCAAATTGAAAGCAAATTGTAAGCCGAAAAAATCAAACGCGATAAACCTTTTATACAAGCATTCATAACGAATCCTACGAAGAAATCTTTTGATTCTAGCATTCATACATAATAATATAACCAAATGCCAGTTTACAATTTGACTATTCGACTTCGACAATTTACAAACTGTTAACAAAGAACAACACGGATAGTTTACTATCTCTTTAGTTTATAATGGTGTCAATTGTTTAATTACAAACTGTCGAATTTCCTAGTCGTACGGTGGCAGTAAAACGACGCCATTCAGTTTAAACCTCAGCTACGACTACTTCCCGTTGCTTACGTGTTGTGATTAGCTTTTGTCGTGATCAACACGTCCTAAATATTAATTGTAGAGAT